ACAACCTGCTCTAACAGCTTAGTTGTATAGTCTACATTTTTTTAAATTGTGTCAGAAGTTTGGACAACAAGGGTCATTACAAGGCAAAAATTAAATATATTTCAGTAACAGCAGAATCTTCAGTGGCAAATGAAAAATGAAATCATGCCTGTGGCTTATTTCTTGTCAGTTGCAACAGAGTGAAGCAAGGGAAAGGAAAAACAAATTTCCTCTTGAATGAAAGTATATGCCCGCAGCCTGAATTTGAGATTTCCACCGCACTTCTAAAAGAAAAAAAGCAGGTGCAGCTTAACTGGCATATTCAGACTTAACAAGTAACACAGAGATACCTGAAGGATGACAGGGGCCTTCAACAACTCTCTTGCCATGGAACTGAGCAAGTACCAAGACCGGCTTTTTGACATACAGACACCCATATGCTTCAATTAGCATGATTTTGCTTTTGAGTCACCACATTCTGAATTATCCTCTTAATTTTTTTTCTTTTTCTTTCACCCAATGAATATAGCTAAGGCCAATATCCACATCCTAAACTGAATTAAAATGCAGGCTGCATAATTTATTCTTCCTAGAGCTAATGGGAAAGTCAGACATAATGCTGGATTCACAATCTCCAGGTAAATTTAAGATACAAAACACATACAATTTACATAGGTATACTGCGAAACCACTCTATTGCATTTATATTCAGTAATTTAATCACTGTAATTACCCACTTTGTTTCAGAAATACAACAAAAGAGTAGTCTTTAGACATGAAAGCCTTTGCAGTTTACCCTGTTTGTTAAAAGACCAAATGAGCCAGATAGTCGCTTTAATTTTTTTTTTTTTAAATCCAGATGCTGATTTATAATTGTAGTTTCTTCTTCTTGAGGTCCCAGACTGACAATTAATGACGCTCTTGTGCAAAACTGAACAAGCAGCTCTCACTTCAAATTATCTGTCTTTCAGGAGTATTTATTATGGCTAGAGTCAGATGCTGGCACAGGAGTGCGCATGATGTTGCAAATCTCAGTTAAACATGCATTCGAATAGAGCCCAGGACTATGAGTAGCCTACTTATTCCAAATATTTTCTATGACAACGTACAGTCCTGAAAAATGATAGTTTCTATTCATAACCCTACTTCTAACTATGTTTCACCTTCATCTAGCATCACAAAAAAAACTTTCCAGCAGCAATCAGTATGACTGTCAATCAATCAAAACTGCAGCCACATCCAAAAAAAACAATCAATGCAAGTCTTAAGCAATTGGAGAAACATAAGAAAAATCAGTAACAGATCAGACCAGAAGTTCATCTAGCCAGTATGCTATATACAACTAGGTTGATCAAGATCACTGTTGTCCTGCAGACTCTGTGGGCGAAGGATGCCACCTCACAGTCAAGTTTACCACTGACATCTTGACCACAGTGGTGCCCCTGGCTTTGCACGCCACACACATTTTTGTAGTTCACCTAAACCAAATGATGCAAACCCTCCCTCCTTCCATTGAGTCTTCTCCATCCAGCCATTCCTCTTTAAGTAAAACTATATTTATACCAGACGTATAGAATTATTTCCATTACTGCTCAAGGCTGAGAACTGCCTTGTAGGAAAAGTTTAAATTCATATAAAACCATCTTACCACATATTGTTTTAAGGGATCACAAATCACCATTACGACAAGGCAGCCTACCATTTCATGAAATGGTGGGTTGTCATAACAATTTTATTTTAGGAACCAGAACTGAATAAAATACTTTGCAGAGTAAATTACAGTAACTGGATTGCAAGTTGCTAAACAACTGAGCAAAAGAAATGTCAAAGAAGATATACCTGGTGAATGTTACTTTAAAGCCACCTTTATCACAGCACAGTTAGCTATTTCAGGGGTGTTTACCTGTATCAGCTTTGTTTACATTAACACTAGAAACACTGACCCAATGTCTTTTTCTGCAAGCATGCTGCAAAAACAAGGCCAGCTGTGTCCGAAGCCACAAGCACTTCTATGAACTCTAGCCGAAAGCTTTCTTGCTGAGCAGCTGCTCAGATTTGTGCCCTCGTGGGGAGGACGTGTGCTCTCAGAGCTCCCAGGGAACTCTGGCAGAGCTTGAAATCTTCTGCCTCTATTTACTGCCAATTCCACTAATCTGTCCTCAACCAAGCCTGCAATAAGATTACAATAATCACTCAATGATCCTAGTCTCCCTCTTCACACACACACAAATTACTCTTCTCTGGTTTATTATTTTCTCTCACATCATTGTCAGCTGCCAATATCACCTGATAAGAACTGCCTGAAGGACTGTTTGCTTCTTTTGACTTTGAATGCAATAGGGAGTAGAGATTGCATCATACCAACGATACTACCTTAAAACGGCAAAGACTGAAAACATGAAAGTTAAAAACACAGATGTCTCCGCATCTGCTTAGCAGAGGGACATAAAATACCAGCTAGCAAAGACCAAGAAGTACATATATATTGGTGCCGGAGAAAGCAGAACAGAATGCTAGTGGCCTCTTCTCCCCCCTCCTGATAAACGTCCCTCCACAGGCATCAGAAATCCAGATGTTTTAGAAGGGCACCGTGAATCACCAGGAGCAGACACAGAAACTCCAGGGGACTGCACCTTCCAGCACAGAAGCAGTTGACATACTGCAAACCAAATTTAATTTTCACAAACAACAGCTTTATGTACTATGGCCTGTGGAGTTTGCTTATTCTGTCTATAGCTAAATAACCTCTTGCTCACATCTATAACTTGTACAGCCACCAGCTGCAAAAGTACTCCCACAGGAGCCTACAACAGGCACATCAAAACCCTTTCCCTCACAGACGCAAAGGTTTCTCAGTTCTACCAGGAAAACAACTCCTCTTCAACTTGTAAACCAACTTACAATTTTGTTTTATAATTCATGCTGGTTCCCACCTAACTATGCTCCTCATGTCCTTCCTGCCACTTTCTTTCTCAAGAGGATTAAATCAAAGAAATAAAAAGTTCAGACGAATGCTTTTTGTATTAATATACAGGCTCGAGAATAACTGTATGCACAAGTGTCTAACAGGGACCAGTAATGTATGCTCTACAAAAAAACCAAAGTGAAGAGCACACTCTGAGTGCGTATTTTGTCAATAAACTGATCAGGTAGCTGAGGGAATAGATGCAACAGTTAGTTATTCCCTAGTTAATAAGGTAGCTCTAGAGCTCATTAAAGTTTCTCCTCTGCCTTGAAAGCACAAATATTGCTCCTGGACCTGCTTTACAATATTTAATATACAGTACGTATTTATTAGCATCTTAAGATCAGGAGGGCACTCCTCCTCCTGATCGTTCTGTTGGCCACGCGTTTTTTGCACTATGGATTGGTCTTAGGGCACCTGACCCGGACTCCTTGCAGATGACGCTAAACTGGAACACGCAGTCCAAGCAGACACCTAACACGCACCAGCTAGGACTGGTCCTTCGGTCCAGAAGGCCAGACTAAGTAATTTCCAAAACACACGCAGCGTGAACATGAAGTCCTCAGCACCGACAGTTTCCCCCTACAGATCTGCCTCTGTTGTGCCACAGCACTTGCTAAAGCAGACACAGCCACAAATACCAAGGT